CAGAAATGTTTGCAAACCTGTTTCTAAAGGTTGATTTATTTTTCATAAAAGTGTTAATAGAATCATTCGATCTCAAAAATCTAGAATAGTGTTACGTTTCCGCTATTTCTCTCTTGACTCCTGATTCCTTTTTCTTTCTTTTTTTTTTTTCTTGTTTTGCTCATTACTTCTGCTATGTAAGATCCTACCATTCTTATGCTTATGACGTTTGGTGTCAAAAAAATAAAAAGAATGAGCAAAATCCTTTGTTTATTAGTAACAGGTGTTACAAAATGTTATACAACACTTTTGGAGCAGATTAGTTAAGAAAAAGAAAGAAAAAAAAACACACTTTAAATTACAGCTTAACCGAAACAGCCGTGTAAAGTTAAAAGGGGAGGAATATGTGTAGGATTAAAAATATTGATGCGTAAGTTTGAAAGGATGCGTGAAGAGTTACATAAACGGGCATAGTAATTCGACTTTTTACGTTACACTATGCGGTGTCATACTATCCCACTTTAGACTATATTGTGTTGTTCCATCTCGCCAGTGTTATGGAGCTAAAAATTTCGAGTGGGAACAACTTCTCCAGAGAAGAAAATCCTCAGGACTTCGGTTTTATAATTTTTATCATTTATTATGCATTCTCCATTTGTCTGCAAGTACACATATATTTCTTGTACCCATATAGGTGCGCGTGCCTACACGCATGTAATGGGACGATGATAATCTTAAACCGAAGGAAGTTTAAGTAATTTCATTACATTTTGTGTAATTTTCCTCTAAGATAGATATCTATCTATAGATATTATAACTGCATTGCCCTTTTTTTTTCCTCATTTTTTTTAATTCATTTTTTTTTTTACAAGTTTTTGAAAGTACAAAAAAAAGAAAGTCGATGAAAATTCTTTATAAATATTTTTCACTTGTAATATTTGTTCAGACAAATATTTTAGTTTCTTCCCTTTGATAAACAAGTCAAATGAATAGATTAAACAACATTGGTGCTGATTAAGTACTAAAAGAACTATTATACACGATTCCTATATAGTAGCTGAAGCGAATAAAATGAGCAATTGGGAGCTGTGTGTGTGTATGTATAAAAGGAACCTTTTATTCCACAGCGTGAAAATGAGTGATCAGTAGAATAAATAAGCTGCCTGAAAGGGTGCAAAAAAGGGGAGAGTGTATAAACAAGTACTTACACATGTACAAATACACGCATAGCCATGTACAAACATGCACAAATTTGTGAATAGCTTGAAAAAAAAGGGAATCGCAAGTATGTGTTTTCCTTTAATTTTACAATTTACTCAAAAATAAACAAGTTAAAATTATTAACAGAAAGCCATGTGGACATTGAGACTGCAGAAGAAGCAGCTGGGCGAAAGGTGTACATGCACATATACAACTATACATATACATATGCACCTTCATGCATATATATACATTTTTATGGCATCAATGAGTCCCGTAGGCCAGGAGAAATACCCCTCTTGGCACATTTTAAGGATGGTTAATTAGAGAGCTTCACAAAAACATACTCTTCAGAAAATAGATTTTCCCAAATGAAGTCTATTAACAGAACGTGCTCTTAATTTTAAAAATTGTCAAAGTAGCCAATTTTTTTAGATTCTTCTTAACAGTTGAGAATTCAACAAAAAAATGAGATACACCGGTTAGACATAATAAGCTTACTCAGCTTGAATATCCTAACGGTTTTACTAAACATTTGATTAGCCTAGTAGCCATATTATCCTTATTCATCTTCATTGTTCCAGTTATACTCATCATTTTTTGTAAAGCTAGGGACCAAATAAATCTACCAAAGGATCCCTTTATTTATGCATAAAATACTACGTAATCTTTATTTCTTCCCTTATAACAATCTGGGGATAATATTTCTCTTATAGCTCAATTTCCCCAATTAATTATTCTACGCAAAAGTATCAAATCAGTTTTGTTTCTTTCCAGTAATTCTCCCACCGAAGTAAACGAAGAACATATCATTTATAATTCCGTTCATTCCATTTACTTGATTTTTTTTTTTCTTCCTGCACTTGTGGTAAACTCACACAATTTATATGAATCTTCTCTTATATTTCAAATCTCCTTTTTTTAAATCCCCACCCCCATGAGCAATCACATATGCAGAACAACACATGCAACTCTTTAAGCCCCTGTCTGAGATATCATGAAAAAAAAGAAAAAAAATTGTTTTTATATAATTCACTCATCACTTCATCTTTTTAAGATTCATATTTGTCTACAAGCATAAGTTAGCTCAACAATTTAAGATCCCACTCGTCTATGATCATTTCTTTAATGGAAAATTCCCCTAACTATCCTTTTTTTTTAAATTTAGAGGCATCCTTCCACATATCTTACTTGTCCACCTACATACTTGGGTAGATATATATGTGCATTTGCATATGATTTCTTATTCACCATTTCCTGCTAGACTTAAGTTATCGAAACTAGTGCTCGTTCTAAGTACTTTATAGTTTCTTTCTCTCTTTCGGGGCTTTTATTCATAGTTTCTGCTCAATTTGCATTATCTTCCTTCTGTTAGGAGCTTAGGTTTGCAGCTTTATTTCGATTAATAGTTCCCTTCACTGTCGATTCAGAGGCCCTTGCCCTTTATTTTTAGTGTTTTTTTCTTTTTTTTCTTTTTCAAAAAGCTCCTAAACAGGCCTCGTTTTTTTTTTGTTTTTTACTTATAATGTCGCTTTCCTCGTTTCTGATCTCTTCTTCTTCTTCTTCTTCTCTTCTTCTTCTTCTTCCTCTTCTTCTACTTTTTCTTTCTTCTCATTTTCCCCAGTGTACCCTATACATTGATCTTCATAAAATAGTTTTTCACATGATATAGGATCAGCAAACCATACTTTTCGCTTTTCTCTTTTTGTAGTTGTCCCCGTTTTGAGGCAGCTGTGCATTACTTCCGCTTTACCACCGGATGTAGTCGCTTCGCCACTGGACATAGCAAAATCGCCGTTGCCTGCTGTAGAGTCTACACTGGTTGTTGCAGCGCTGCTGATTCCTGTCGCCTCTCCATTGATTGTTGTCGCATCGCTGCTGGACTCTGTTGCGTCATTACTTGAGGTGGTCGCATCACTAGTGGGGGATGCCGTATCACTGATGGCGGTTGGTGTATCACCGCTAGTTTTTGCCGCGTCTCCCCTAGTTGTTACCGCGTCTCTGCTAGTTCTTACTGTGTCGCTGCTATTTTTTCCTGTGTCGCTGATGCCTGCCTTCACACGAGCACCATTTTTTGCCGCACCACTGCTGGCGACCTTCATATTAGCACTGACTCCTTTTGCATGACCACTTCCTCTTGTTCCTTCTGTATTAAGGATACGTTTCTCCTTTTTCAAGGAAGTCGCAGACACCTTCTTCTTTTTCACTGTGTTAGCGGCACCTTTCTTAGTATGAGAAGCTTTTCCTTGCTCTTCTAATTTTCTTGAACATTTAAAGCTCATTTGCAGCTTTGTATAAATGTTTCTCTCATCAGAATTGGACGTATTCTGCAAATGTAATTAAAAAAAAAGAAAAAGAAATTCATTTATGAAATAGTTGGTCTTCAAAAATGACCTTTTTTAAAAAAAAAAAAAGTTTACTGCAAGTTTGTTTCTTTATTTCCATATTCTCATACTTGTATGAACAGATGTATCAAGGTAAAAACGAAAAAAACGAAAATTTTCGAAGCTATAAGATTCTTGAAACACTTTTTCATATGAATTTTACTCTCTTCTAACGAATGCATAAGGAAACATTTGTCATTTCTCTTTCCAGAAGTCATGTCTCTTATTTCTGCTGTACTGAATACGATCCTGTCCAACATCTCATCATTCATTTCATTCATTTCTTTGATATCAGATATTTTTATTAAATAACTAAAAAGTTGTATTCGTTTCTTTCTTTACTTTGTGCTGAGAATGAAGAAAAAGAATTGCTGATTTATACCTTTTAATGTCTTTCCAAAACAAATATAGAAACAAAAATGGGGCGGCTACTTTGTATATATATGCATATTTTATAATATAATTAGCAAGAACAATATAAGTACATATAAGAGTGTGTCAAAACATGGGGGGCATGGTCAGAAAAAGCTTTCTAATTTACTTTACTGTTTTCTTTGCGTAGGTTCATATACCTACGAATATTTCTGGACTTGTGTCAATTTCGCAGAAACAAACTACTCATATATCACATTTTTTATAAACAAACAATCTTTCGCAATATTCTGATTCATCTGAATGAATTTTTCTATTTAATCTATAATACAGCATATATATATAATAAATATAAGTATATAACTCTATACAGGAAAAAAAAAAACAGAAAAAAAAAAGAAAACAATCAACTGCCTTACTATTTTGAACTTAAAAAATAGCGTAAAAAAATAGTTACAGAAAATATAAAAAAAATAAATTCATTTATATTAAATAGTATTTTACTGATATATAAATAACTTACTAAATTAATAAGTCTATGTCTTTTTTTTCATAATTTGTTATGTTTGTCATTCTTAAATTTTCAAGGAAAATTTTAGATATCGCGGAATTAAAAAAGATATGGGGTAAAAGTCTTTTTCTTTTTTCTTTTTCCCCTCTTCTTATTTCCTTTTATTTGTACTTTTTTCCTGTCGCCGCTTTTTTTTTCTTTCTTTACTCTACCGGGGGTTTTGGTTGATTACCCCCATATGTTTTAATTTTTTTTTTTATTTCCTTCCTCTGGGTATGGATGTATTGTCCAACCTGTTATGAATTTTGTTCTATTTTATTTGGGCCAGAATTACCTGCCTTGCAGCGCTAAGTACTAATGCGTAATGAATAATATTATGGTCTTTATGCATGTAATGCAATAAGCATACCTACAGTTGTAATTTTTCGACCTTTAAAACCTTTTCCTCATCCTAAATTGCCCGTATCTTTCCTTTCGCTTGCCCAATTTCAAAGGGGAGGAAAAATATTAAAATTCTTATGCAGTCTATTTTTTAAAAACGCTAGTTATTTATTTTTGATCCCTTCTCATGTCTTTAACCTTGTAATTATAAAAGAAAGGGGATATTAACGCAAAAAAAAAAAAAAAAAAAAAAGAACTTTTTTGACATAGCGTAGCGGTTCCTATATCAATAAACCAATTTCATGTCTTTTTTAATGCCTCCATTCAATGGGCTTATAGAGATATTCTTTTAATTTTTCTGCCTTCTGTGACCACCATAATTTCGTTTAGGGCCACCAACCGAACAAAAGAAAAAAAAGGGGAACAAGCAAATGGATCAGTTTGAATAACGCAATTCACAATAAGCAGATGTTTACATGATATATATACATATTTTGGCATGTCCAACCATGCGATACATGGTTTTACTTGTATAAAGGGTTTCATAAAACATATACCCCGAATTTTCCGTAATCTTTTTTATCTTTCTATGTTTCTACATTTTGGTTATCCTTCCTTGCTCCTTCATAAGACAGTTGATCCAGTTTGCATGACGTGTTCGTTCTCCTCTTTCTAGTCTTTTTCTCATTCAAATAATGATATATTTGAAGTTCTTTATAATCATCTAATTTTATTTATGGACATATATTCGGATAGAGATAGATATGCATATGTACACGCCAGCGCCCATGAACCAGCCATAAAAAACAAGTGTGCAACTTTTATAAAAAGCAATGGACAACAGCGTGCCAAAAATGCATGCATTGCTAACGTCGGCACCCACGTTCTACAATAACCGTACAACATCCACCCAGCGCTTATGTATGTCCCATTCGCAACAAAAAAAAAAAATAAAAGATGCTCTTCAAAAGGGTTTTTCTGGGAATGTTACAATCAATGACATGTCAATAACGTGTATTAAACCAGAACAGCGTCCGCGCAAAGGAAGCGCATCTTCTGTTGATTACTTTATCTACTTAGTAACCGATGTACATGCTTATTTTTTCCCATGTATTCCTAAAATGGTTCTACGTGCCCCAATAGTTTTTTTTGAAAGAAATTTCCAAAAAGGAGACGTAACAAAATGTGTTGTCAACTGCTACAACTCGACTTGCGATTTGGAATTTTCGATCTACTATTTACTATTCACTATCTACTATTTACGCTTCGCCGTTCCCACGTCTTATATGCATTGTCTCGACGTGCAATATAGAATTTGTTATTGCTTCTTTCTTAAGGGCTACTCTTATTCATTCCTACTGTGAAGCTTCACCGTTAACTATTGGAGTTACTCTCCTCATAAGACACAAGGATAAATGAAATAATTCAAATCTTAGTAGTGTCCAATTTTGCTCAGACTTCTTTTACGTGCATTGTGACAAATTATATCCCTTATTCACATCCAACACAACTTTGGGGGAGGCACCATTTTTTTCTTCCTCTAAAATATAGCCATTAAAAAGGGGGAAAAAGAAAACCTTAACGTCCTTTTTTTTTCTATAAAAGTGAGAAGCAGTCAACACAATGGATCAACCAATGACGATATCACAACAAAAATAAATAAAAAAGGGGAACAATCCCTGATTCGACCATGCTTCTCTTCGCATAGAAAAAAAAAACAACACGCAGCTCTTTTTCTCCTTTCCTGCTTTTCTTTTAACCCCTCGAATAAAACTACCATCCGTCGGTCGTCTATGCGTGCACATTTTTACGACACAATTAGGAGACATTTAGCCAAAATGTTCACATGTTTAACACTATTATGATGAAAAAAGAAGCTTTTCACTTTTTTCACATTTAAGAAAAGTCCACCCCTCTTTAGACGTCCCCTTGGCTCATTTCTTATTTTTGCGGGAAAAAAAGAGATATTTCAGCGATCCAAAAGAATATGCGCCTGCGTAGCATAGCTTATTCATAGTTCATCTAAAGTTAAGCATATTCTCACATATATGGCGTGCAAATTGTATACAATTGTACGCTCAACATATGGTGCACAGGCGTTGAGATGAAAAGCTATTTTAACTTTATTAAATACTTCCGCTACGTCAATTAACAAGTAATCAGTTTTAGTAGGTAGACAAAATGTAGAAGCAGTTGTGCTTTCTTTTTATATTCACCTTACATACAGATAAGACCAAGGTATTCATATAGGTATATATAACATGTACACATGCATACATACGTAGAACATATGCATATGATGTTAGGTGTGTGGGTATGATGTTTAAGGCCATATTTTGAATGTACATTTTTTTGCATCCAAAAGGTTCAAAAAAAAAGCAAATACAAAAAAAAGAAATAAATAAATAGATAACTTGTAAAAATGGTACGAATGGCTTCACCACCAAGTATTTCTTCTCACAAGGTTGCAACTCTCATTTAGTGAATGTAAAACTTATATGCACGTTGTTCGATTCCCTTTTGTCCTTCCTTTTGCACATCCACCTTTTCACGGTTCATATAACTTTTCAAAAAAGGGAAAGCACTTGATAAATTTTGTATGTTATAGATTTATAGAATCATATAAAAATATAATATCGTTTAGATTTGCCATCATTATGAAACAAAAACATCGTTTATTCTCAGGCAAGATATGCTACATAAACAAAGTCAATTTTTTAAATTCATTACTTTTTTATTCTTTCTAAAAAATTGTAAGCATCTTGTATTAAAGATAGGGTATATAACAATAAGTAGGTTTTTTGGGTTCCAATGAACATCATCAGTAGTGGGGGGATGGCAGGAAAAACATATGGAGCTACATTACTTATATCACGAATTATACTTTTTATAATGAATTTAGGGCCTTCTTCATCTTCTTCATCTTCTTCTATACATTCACTACAATTACAAGGGGCGTTGTTACCAGCCATCATGTTTTGTCTTTCATTCATAGATTTTAGAAATTGTAACATTTGCTCTGGGCTGTTAAATGGTAATCTTCTATCTGCATTTGAACCTGGCACAATTCCAGGTCTCCTTTGCATAGCCTCTGGTGGTGGTAACATTTTTAATAATTGTATAAGTTCCTGTTCAGACAATTTTGGTAGACCTTGATAATTCTGATTTTGTCTCGGTCCGGGGACGCGTGCAGGTATATCGTCTGACATTGTTCTATACCGTTCTTCGACCTTTTGCTTATAAGATTCTTCTGCCATTTTTCTGTACATTTCTTTGTCATCATCTTCGTCTTCCACCTCTTCAACATGTGCAGAGCTGCTACTTGCTTCTTCACTTTTTGTGGAAGAGCTTCCTGTTTTTACTTCTTTCGGAGTGATTGCTTCCTTTGAGGATTCTCCCAAAATTCGATTACCCCCCAAGTCCAAGGCTGCTTCTTGTAGTATGTTTTCACACTCAAAAGTATTTCCGAAGGTATTCTACAGACAACCGAGGATTCATAATTTTAACATTAGTTTTTGCTTATATTTATAAAGAAACCTTCAAATCATTTCTTTTTCCTCTTTTACCACAATAAAAAATAAAACATGGGTGCACACTAAGAAACATGCACATAAATCTTAAGTATATATGTATGCATTCGCAGAGAGGAAAAAAAGCGACACACTGTTAAAAAAGCTGTGCATTTCCCCCCTTAGCTTCTGTTATGCATTTTTTAGCTGCACTTACCTCATTGAAACATTGTAACACCAAAACTAAAATACCAAACATGGAAAGTTGGAGATAGAATGGGAACTTACTACTATTGTTAATTTTCTGGCTTGGCCAGGTGCCCTTTCCCGATGTACTAGAATCTTCGGCTGCTACAACATTTTCAGTGTTTCTTTCTTCATTTTGGGCGAAGTGAGAGATATTTCTACAATCTGTGTTAACCATCTTTTGTTTAGTACGTATATTCTTAATCTTGAAATAAAAAAAAAAAAAAAAAAAAAGAACAGGGTTGTTTTCTGTAGTAGAAAATATAATGGAAGAATAAATTGCCTAGAAATAAAAAACTATTAAAAAAGTTCTTTTTCTATTAAATTATCCTAATTAAAATGTTTGATAATATTACGTTTTCTGTTTAGCAACAAATTGAGTAAATCAATTCAATAAAACGTAAAAATTGTTTACAACAAACAGCAAAAAAATAATTATTATAAAAAATTTCTTAAAAATATTTAATTCATTTAACTGCTATTTCGTAATGACATTTTTGTAAAAATTAATTTGTTTTTCCAGACAGAAACAAAACTACAAGAATACTAAAATGTAATTTTTTCAATTAAATTTTTTCTATGATATTTTAAAAAAAAAGAGAAAACAATAAAATAAAATAAATATTATCACGAAATCTCTTTTTTCGGCGTAAAAATATTTTCTCTGTCGCTCAATTATTATTTTTTCGATAATGTTGAATTAGAGGATTATTTTATATTATTTACTATAAATGACATTGTTATTAATTATAAATAAAAACGCAGAAGCAACGTTTCTTTTAAAATTTAATTGATGAATGGCATCCTATTCTAATTATTTCCTGTTATTCTGGAAGTTACTAAATAAGGAATTCACTTAAATATCTGTCATTTGTTATAATTTATTTATTTGTTATTTATTTGTTATTATTTATTTTTACTATTTAGCTATTTTGTTATTAATTTATTGGTATTATTTATTGCTGCTATTTATTGCTGCTATTTATTTATTTTTTCAATTCCATCCTGTTAAAAAAGTCCCTGGAGAAAAATACATAAATGAAACAAAAATATTTTATCCGCATCGCGACATATAAATTTAATCAAAAATTGTATATCACATATATATGATGTATGTATATAATATCTATAATATATATTGTATGATGTAATAAAAGAAAGTACAACAATGATGGATATACATTATATACATGTAGTACTTATTTAAAGTTCATTGTCGTTTCTACTCAGAAACCCAGTGAGACAATTTTAAGGGCGGTGCCCTATTTCGATCACGCGTATCTCTCTGTTGTTCAACTTTTCAAAAAAAAAAAAGAAAAAATTACGCGTCCTTTGCATAATCCGCATATTAGGTCATGCCTCCGTATTCTATTATACCTTTTGATCCTTTTTGTTCTTTTTTTTTTTATATGGTAATAATTTAATAAAATAAATTTTAAAAAGCAACCATAAAAACTACGGTATTCTAAGGATGATAATTTTACTGCATGTTTATTTAAAGATTATAAATTTGAGGAGCGCTTAAAAACAACAGACGTGCCACTCGTCCTTCTTTCTTTTTAAGGTATAAAATAAGAAAGCTTCCACAATTAAGCAGTTTTTCGCCCTGTAGAAGAAGTCCTCTGAAGGCCGTAGGATTCGCTTGAATTTCCCTGAGTTTGCCTTGAATTTGCCTTAAATTTGCGTATATTCACGCAACCGGGGTTCAACAAATTCGTAGTTCTTCCTATATGCAGAGAATTTAAATTTTATTATTTGGCACCCATAGCATTATTAATATTCTTATTATTGTTTTATTATTTGCTATTCTAATTGTAGTATGTAAAATGGCTTTCATTTCATGCATAAATCAAATGAGCAAAAAATTAGAAAGTCATATTAAAGCGATAAAGCTATATGGTAGAATGAAGTCACCATTGATCTGTAAAAAACGACAGAAAAAGAAAAAAAATTAAGGAAAAATGCAAAAAAAAAAAAAAAAACAAGAGATCTATTATACTGTAAGGAAAAAAATTTTACCTTGCAGAGACAACTTTGTTAGGAGTATCACGCTGCAAAGCAAAAATTCGTTCACTTTCGAACCATGGAACTGTTAAAGTGCCTCGCAAAAGGGTAAACGCAAAGGCTTATTTAATTATACTAAATGAAAAATCTGGCAGTCTTATGCATCGCATAGGGTACATAATATATATGCCCTATAAAGCCATTAAAACGTCTTTATTCGTAACATGTAAAAAGAAGCCACAGCTCCCCCTATAGATAGTCCCTTCTAGCAAACGCATATACATATATATATCCACATTTGTCTTGGATAAAATTTTTTTTTTGGTTCTTTAAAGAGGGCGCTTCTTAATTTATTCCGAAGGTTACTGGTTCAGGAGCGATATGATCTATAATTGTTACTTTGCTTCGGCGATTCCTGCGACTTGTTGCTATAATAAATCGCCCCTTTCCTGCTGTCTTTATGGCCTGCCTGTAGTTCCTTCCCATCGTCAAGCATACTGCAAAAATATACGAAGGTATACTTGAAATATAGTGAAGACTGCGGTAATCCACATCGTTATTTATGCAGTACATACTTATAAGGAAAATAGAATTTTATCCCTTTCGAAATATATCAGAGTTTTCACCTCCTTCGTATTACGCAATTCTATATTTGTCTGTCGAGTTTTCACCCGTTGGTAGAGATGCCTCCCCTATGCGTATAGCTCAAATGCTCGCTAATTCTCTGCCTCAGCGTTTTTACCTGCCCAAGTATGAATAAATAATAGCAGGACTGAATTTAATTACCAGGTCAACTAATCGAAGGACCAGTCCACCAACTTGTCAAGCAGGCGTACAATCGAATTAATTACGTTATCATTGAAAGCAATTTATACCTAAGAAAGGGGCTATACATGGATATAGGGCTTGGAGACACCGAATCTCCATTTCTTAAACATATTCCAACTTTCAGTCATGTCTTTTTCTCACTTTACCATGGAGTACATTGTACGCACAATGCACAGACACACGTATGTACCTATTTATTTATTCATTCCGTTTTCACTCCTATAGTTAGGGTGCTATGTGGATAGCTTAATAAAAAATTATGTGAACAAATTTCTCTAGGGGAAGCTAGCTTTTATGATTAGATCATAGTCACTAAAAAATTAGTAGCCGTATTATATACTATTCTCTGAAATATAAAAAATAAAATATTATCCTTCAAAATAGTTCCCTAAGCAGCCCCGTAACGTTATACTGCGTTTTACGCCCTTATTGTGTAACATTGCATCTGTCTTTACTATTACGAAGTATCTCTGCGTTTGTGTCACAAATGTTTGAACTCACGATGCTGTCCTAACGACCGAACGAGGGAACTACCGAACGAGGGAGCTACCAAGCGACCAAACGTCCGAATGACCAAGTAACCGAACGCTCTTCCCTTCCATGCAAATGAAGGGATGCGAAAATGTCGACACGGCCTTGCTATATGCACAATAAATAGGATAACCAAATCTTTATGGATCCACCTCATCATACCATGATTAAAAAGAAGTAACAGCGTTTACAGAATACAACTTTTAAAAATTCTGTAATCATCTGCGATAGTTAGAGAAGAAAGATGATCTAAATTTGGAACACAGTTCACGCGGACTTTGTTCGTCTTAATTGTTTTGCAAAATGTACTAAGCTAAAAATTATAATTGTTTCGTTTTATTATAAATTTTGGTACCATTCGTTAAAATGGGCACGGCGGTTCAGTTGTATAGCACTTATATAGGAATAGGGAGTGTGACAAAATGGTGACGCCCCCTTCTTGGATGCCTTAAACAAGATGTCGAAAAAAACACCGGCGGAAAGTGTGACGATTTAATTCTTGCAATATTTCCCAAAACGGAACACGAAAAGAACAAAAATAATAAAATATCATATTTTGCCCTAACCTTATCATGGCACACTGTAAAGGGGCTTATTTCCCATATAACATAAATGTACGGGCAGAATTTTAGACATAACATAAAAGGTTAATTCTGCGTAAAAACGGGCGTAATATGACATTATTGTTATTTTTTGTTTTCCTAACTCTGTGCTTCCGTTCCCCGAGCTTATACGTCATTAGGTATGCTTCAAGAAAATCTTCACGTGCCCCCACACATATATATTGAATGCATCCGTAGCATTAGAAAAAGGGTCCTCCGTTTTCTTTTGAGCTATACTTACCTATTCCCAAGGAGCTGGAAAAAATCGTCGACAAGTGAAGAAAATAGCGTTGGTCTATTTGTACCTTTGGAATTTATTTTATTGTACATAAATGAACTCACGCGCTGTTCTATTTAAAACCGCGTCCAATCCTATAGACGTTCCATTTAAAAAAATGTTTTCCATTCATTCGCCTCTTTTCCGGATAGCATGGACGACATTGTATCAAGAAATATTGTGGAATAACAAGAAGAGGAGAGAAAAAGAAGGCGAGAAATGGCTTCTATGATTTCTTATGAACAATTGCGTGCTCCCTATTTTAACAGTACAGCCAGAACCGAGACCAAAAATTATATCATTGCCTTGTACGCTGCCCACATTGTGGCTCCCGTTTGCATATTTTCTTCCATGGTACATAAGGCGCATAATAAATATATATACAAAAACAATAGCCGCATGTAATATATTTAAAGCCTCGTACAAATTGAGACTTCCAGAGCCCCTGGGATTTTACCTGTCCTCGCCCCTTCCTTTTTTTTGTCTAAAACTTATTTGTAAGATCAAAATATAGTTTAGAAATATACGCCTGGAGAGCAAATTAATCGTAGATGGGTTATTTTCTCATAAGCGTTGAACAAGTACAAAAAAAATGAATAATGCAAAATTTTGAAACCGGTCGTATGTATATAGCTTAACAATTTTAATGCGAATTGAACAATTGCTATCGTCCCACGGAGGCACAGAAAATATATAATTTAATTTATTCCATTTAAAAAACTTGACGCTTTAAAAAAACAACGCGTATTTTTGGAAATGTGTATTTTTCCTTTTCCTTCTCTTATTTTCCAGAACTTTTATTTCTCATTATAATAGAACGTCTCATCTGACATGGTAGGTATTTCTATTTTTCTCAAATTAAGTTTTAAAAGAGGAAGATCTTTAAATGTAAAGATCTCTAAGGAACACGTGCTGCATTGCTACTTACCCAGTCAAACTATGTGCCATGTATGTACACACATTTACAAATGTATCGCTACTCTCACAAGCCTATCTTTCTTATATTTACTAATTTTTATGTAATTAAATAAGAGTAAATGTTCTCTTTTCTTTTTTAAAAGCTTGACACTCACAAAATGAACCTTCCATTTTTTACAATATTCTGAATCTCCCTCAAAATGTTCAAATAGAATTAGAGAAAAGGAAAATCGTTCTTCTCGCTTTTTCTCTCTCTCTTTTTCTTTCTCTCGTTCTCTGTCTCTCGTTCTCTGTCTCTCTTTTTTTTTTTTTTTCAGCTCCGTATGAAGTCATCCAAATTAATCTATAATCGCAACTGCAATTTCATGAGCATAGACTAATGCAGAAAAATTATTCAACATGAAAGCTAACCCCGAAATGTGTGGATTGAACTTCGAAGTATTTTTCTCCCTCGTGCAGCACCTAATGGTGAATTCTTTTTTTTACCCTTCTCGATGTACACGACGAGTGTTTTATACTTATGAACACCGCCCCGGCGTAAAAAAGTTGAAACGAAAAATAGTCCTCCCTTGGAAGTGCACAAATGATTCGGTTCAGTTATCGCAGCTCAGTACATTATGGTACTCTCTCGTTTTCGCATTTTCGTTTTTTCATATTTTTCTCTTTTTTTTCCTTTTAAAAAGGAAACCCGCTTTTTTTCCTTATTTACTCTTTGGAAGTACTCCAGAGGATGAGTTACCCTTCATACGAGGTGCCATAATTCGCAAAGGCTTTTTATCCCGTTCGCCGTTGCTGTTATTTTGCTAATTGTGACATAGTTATATATAAATGTACATCCATGCCTGTGGGCTTAAACCTAATGCCTAATTCGTTCATGCTAAATTAGTGCATATAGAAGCTACATGTATGTGTGTATAAAGTCTTTACTTCAGCGTGCACTAGAATGGTTAGAAGGCCAATCAGCTACTTCATTTTAAAGTGTGCTTTTGATATTCGTACAGCTAGGGTCAAAAGTCTACCAGCTCCCCATCTGAGAATTGATACAGGCTGCAACTGATGTTATGTAAACGAATTTTGCCTATTAATAATTTAAGAAGAAGACCTTTCCTTTGCCTCCTTCTCTTCGCCTCTTTTGCTTCGCTTTTTATCTACCTTGCTGCATTTTAGCACCGTATACAATAACGTAACATGGGATTTGTTCTATCCTTGTTCATAAACAGGGCACACTTGTGTTGTATATCCTTTGTACGATTATTGGCATGTATGCATAGTTAT